AGAGAGAGAATCCAAAGCAGGCTCCGCACTGTCAGCGCAGAGCCCAACACGGGGCTCAAACTCACGAACGATGAGATCATGACCTGAGCTGAAATCAAGAGTTGGATGCTTAACCAACTGAGCCACCCAGGCACCCCCAGATTGAGGGTCTTAAGTGACCCTTAACTTGTAGGGGCCAATGTTGCTTACTGCAAAGTTATTTTCCAAAAGGGTCTCCTTGGCAACCTCTTCTTTCCAGCTCAAACTGAGAAAGTTCTGTCTGCTTTCTTTTCCACAGCTCCAATGTTTTGCTAGACCAAAACTTCACCTCCAAGCTGGCTCACCCAATGGCTCACCTGTGTCCTGACAACAAAAGGTCAAGATATACCATGATGAAGACTCACCTTTTCCAGGCCTCTGCTGCATATCTGCCAGAGGATTTCATCAGGGTGGGACAGCTGACAAAGCGAGTGGACATCTTCAGCTGTGGAATAGTAAGAGCTTCCTTCTGTGCTTGGACTTTGGCCTGTACCTATTTGTTCTCCCCACAGCTCCTTTGTAAGCATAAGATATAATGGTAGCCCATAGATATATTCCATCAAAGTACAGTAGGGGTTGGCAAAATATAGCCCCCAGGCCAAAACTGGCCCAGGGCATATTTTGTACCACCTATAATAAGAAAAGCTTTTACATTTATAAAAGATTTAATAACAATAATAATAAGTGAGAGAGACTTGGTTCGTGGCCCACAAAGCCTAAAGTATTTACTGTCTAGCCTGTTACAGAAAGTTTGCCGACCCTCAAAGTACAGCTACTCATGAGTGTCCAGCTTCTAGTAGGCTACTTAGTGCCCTGATTCCCAGCCAGCCAGCCATCTAACGGTCCAACCAGTTGTCTGTTCATCTTTGTCCATCCATCTGTCCAACCATCTGTTCACTTAGTCATCCAGTATCCATCCGTTCAACAGCCACCCACCGATTTAGTATCCACCTCTGCTTCTACCCTCCCTCCTCACCACTGCCACTGTCCTGTCCTATCATAACTGCGTGCTGGGCACTCTGAATATAAATGTAACTAAAACATAGGCCTTCCCCCAGGAGCTCATGGTCTGACTATAACAGCCTCCAAAGTATTTCTGTGGAACATCCTTGCATCTCTGTAGGTTGGATGTGTTTTAAGGCTTTTATGGCCAAATAGATATGAGAAATGCTGCGTTAAGTAAAGTCCAGCACATTTCTTTATCACAAAATTAATCAGAGACTTCAATATGGTTATGAGCCTTTATTTTTTTATTTTTATTATTTTTTTTAATATATGAAATTTATTGTCAAATTGGTTTCCATACAACACCCAGT